GCTAGGAATATAAAATCAATGTGCTAGCAGGGCTATGCTTGCTATGCATTCTAGGAGACAATCTGCTCAAGGCCTCTTTTCAGCATCTGCTGGCTGTAGGTGGTCCTTGGCTGGTGGCAGCGTAACTCTAGTCTCTGGCCTCTGTCTTCAACCTGGTCTTCTTCTCTCTGTGTCTTCTGTTTCTCTGGGACACATCTCTCTCTGTTTAGTGACATCAGTCATTGAATTTAGAGTCCACCCTAATCTATATGATCTTATCTTAACTTGATTACATTTACAAAGACCCCATTTTCAAAGACAACCACATTTATAGGTACTGGGGATTAAGACTCCAACTTATATTTTGGAGGCCACAATTTTACCCACCATAGGGGGTAATTAGAGAACAGTGAGCATCAAGGAGGAGTTGATTAAATGCTTACTGTGAGGATCCTGCAATGATCCTCCTGCAGAGTAGCACCACTCCTTGCCAAGGCTCAATTTTCTAAGTCACCCAGATATCCTGAGTGGGCAAGCTAGGAACAGAGCATATAGACAAGGAGACCAAGTTCAGGATGCATTGAGGATTCTTTTCTTTTGGAGCCTGGGGGATAGATTTAACATTTAGCATTTACTTTGAGTTACTAATATGCATTCTAAGATCTGCTTCTTCAATGATTTCCATTTGTTTTTCCCATAATATTATGATTAGTCACCATCTCTCCCTAAGAGAAGAGTAATGGCCACAGTAAATCCAGTGTGCAGTGAAGCACCCAAGCAAAATGATGCAGGGCTCTGGGTCATTGCTGTGCTGCTGGAAGTGGAAGTGACATAGACATGATTCTTTGGGACACAGGGTCCCTCTATGACTCTGACCCTTCTCTGCATTAAACAGTAGTGAAGGACATGGGAAAATATGCTAAACAAGGAAAACTATAAATAAATATGCTATCTGTATACCAAACAGGTATAGGGGTGAGCCACAGAAGGTGAACCACCCAGGGCCCCTGACGCAGCTCACATCTCAGCGGTGCACAGCTGGAGCTCAGCAGAGATGTCCTCTCAGTGGAGTCCATTGTGACCCCACCAATGAGAAGGTTTTGATGACCCTCGCAGCCAGTGACTTTGTCACTGACTGCCAAACCTATAGCCATCAGAGAAGAGTGAGTTTTCTGCATCACTCTAGCTCTAATTAATTTAATGAGCTCACATTAATGCCTATTCTGTGCCAAGGACTGTTGGTAAAAAATAATAATAATTAAATATGGCTTTTGTCCTAAGAGAATCCAGGGTGTGAGTGGGGAGAGACAGTCATGTTCTCAGGGAATGTGGATGGCAGGTGAAGTGCTACAAACATGAAGGATCATGGGACCATGGAAAATGAATTGTCTAAGCCAGCTGGTGTTTCAGGAGATGCTTTCTGGAAAAGATGATCCAGACCTGATCCCTGAAGGACTTTGTTAGTTAGGCCAAGAATGATGTAAGGACTTTCTAGGGAAAGGAAGCACCAATGAAGATCTGGAGCAGAGCAAAGTACAGGGGTGAAAGAATGTCAGATGGCTAAACAGGCCCTAGAAGTAAAGCAGGGCCAGTCACTGGAAGGAAGTTATCCACTAAAAATCTAATATGGGGTCTTATTTCCAATATTTACATATTTGAAATACATTTTTCTACATGCATCCCCATGCCCACTTCCCTTCCTCCTCTGAGTCTTCCTCCACTACCCATCAGGGCTCTGCTTCTCTACCAACCCTGCCTTCCTCTGCCTCCTCTCCCTCTGCTCCCTTGCTCTCTCCATTCTTGTCATGCAGAGTCAGGAAAGGGATGGTAGGATAGAGGTAGTGTTCATGGGGCTTCAGAGGGTGCCTGTTTCTCATGGTTTTTCTTGACAATGAGATAATCTACAAGCCCCTAGCATCAATCCCATTATATTGTCTCCCCAAAGTGTAGCCTCCTGCTTGACACCCAGTAGGCAAGAATATAGAAAGGAAAACAGGAGGAGAGGCAAGCCAACATTGGGAGCCTTTGGGTGCAAAGCTTTCGGTGTATACATGAGTCTTCAAGGCAGTAAAAGTCCCATGGCCTGTGCCACCCTCAGTGACCTCCCACATTTCTGTGCTGTATTTGCACACAGCCTGAGCCAGTCTGTCCCACAGAGACAGTGTGCTCATCAGTTGTGACCTTCCTCCTGCTTCTCCATCCTGTGCCCTGTCGCTGGATGATCCTCATAGTCCTCTTCACCTCCTCCCTTCCAGGCAGCCTGCCCATCTGTCATTTCCTCTCCCTGCTATGTCTTTAACCTATAGCCATGCTCATTCTAACAAACCTTGACCCCAGTTCTACACTAGCTTCTATCCAATCTCTCCTCCCCTTTCTAAGCTCCTAGCAAAAGACATGTCTGCTTCCATATGTCTTGTTTTGTGTTTAACTTCTGCAATCTGACTCTGTCCTCATCATTCTACTGAAGTTTTCTTATTAAGGTCACTGATGACTTCTCTTTTTTTGTGGAATGAATCGGTCTTTTTCAGGCTTCCACTCAGGGACTTCTCTCACATTTGTGACATTGCATACAAGGCCCCCCATGATCCAAGCCCTCACCATGTCTCTATCTTCATCTCCTACCACTCCTAAGGCCACAATTTATGCTCCTGTAGCACTAAACTGCTGCAGTTCTTCACATCCATTAGGTTTTTTTCTTGTCTTCTGGACCTTTTCTAGGATCCTCCTGTCTTTGCTTTTATTCCTCCTTGACTGTCCAATACCTGCTCATTTTTTTAAGAATCAGGTATAGGCATCATCTTCTGCAGGCAGCCTTTATTCTGTCCCCAGGCTGAGTCCAGTGCTTATGCATCTATTTATCTCTATTGTCACATTGTGACACTAATAGAGATGTTATTATTACCTGTTTATATACTTATCTCTTCACATGCTTGTGGGCTTTATTCTAGCATTTAGTATGGTCCCCCCCACACAGTAGTGTCAAATTTATGTCTACTGGATGAGTAAATGAATTTTGCCTAGAAAAATTGTCATAAAGGAGGAGATAGTTGAGTTGAAATGTAAAGGGTGAATGTTTCCCCATAGAGAGGGGGACAAGGGGAAGTACCTCATTGCCATCTTAGGTCAGGTTGCTCAGGAGCAGAGTCTGAGATGGATAATCTTGGAAAGGGAGGGAAGCCCCAGGGGAAGAGAGTTCAGCAAGGATGTGATCTAAGCTGGAGACCAATTCGTCTTGAGCCACCATGAGCTCTGGCTCATTACCTATACACAGAGTAGTTCCCTGTGTTGGTCAGTCAGTGTCATTAGGATGAGGAGGAGTGATTGGAGTGTATGTGTGTTGCGGGGGGTGGTTCATAACCTCCTGAGTTGAGTGACTCCTATGGAGCCAAGGCCAGCTGTAGTTTTCCTCAGCCTGTAGTCACAGTGGCTGCAGATGGGGTCCCAGACGGGACACAGAAAGCACTGCCACTTTTGCTGCAGAAGAAATGGCACTCAGGAAACTGCAAAGCATTGGATCTTGCTGGAGCAGCAGAGGTAAGTGAACTGGGGCTGAGAAGTGGAGGCCAGCTCCAAAAGAACCTGTGATGCATAAAGTGAGAAGGTATTAAGTATGGGATTAACTGCTTTCAATTGCACTCAGGAATATTGGAGTGGATTAGTGAGTGAATGGAGGAGAGGAGCAATGCCAGAGCAGGGAGACCAGTTAGGAGAGCATTCAATAATCAAGATGAAAGGTGCTGACAGTCTGAACTGAAGTAGTGTGGCAGGGATGGGGGAGGAGTGACAGATAGCAGAAAGATTAAGCAGTCAGGAGGGAAGGTATTTCTGGCCAGAGAGCAAGCTCAAAACATCTCATAGGAGCAGTGCATAATTCTCCCACTAGGAGAAGCCATCTCTGTTTTCCATATGTACTTACCTAGCAAGAGTTCTAGGATTTGGCTCATCTGAATCAAAATAATGCAAGGGGAGTGCAGTTCTGGAGTTTTACACTAAGGGATGTAATGTATTTCTGCATTTTAAAGTCTATGAGAGGACAGAAAACTGTACTTGAACAATTAAAATAAATAAATTAAAAATAAATATTAATTAATTTTAAAAAATTTAAAAAGTATATGAGTGGAAAGAGGGAAAATGGGGGACATCTTTAATAGTGTCAACAGTAAAATTATTTTTTTAAAGAAAAGGTGAATGGGAGAAAACATGTGTCAAATGTCCTTTTTGTGTAAGGCATTGTTCTGGCTGCCTGGTAGGTAGCCAGGGGAAGGTGGATGTATGGATCCTGCCCTCATGTTGCTCATAATCTTGTAGGGGAGTTAGAAATGTAAACAACCAACCATACTATAAGGCAGATTGAGATGTGTGCTTCAACAGCAGTGCATATATGCTTGATCTTGGCTGAAGGTGGAGACGAATACACGAGAAGTATAAATAACATGTTCTGGCTGCCCAGATGAAGGACTAATTAATTCTGACCACAGGCTCAAATGATCTTGCCTAATAGAAGATACGACATTTGAGCAGGGTCTGCAGGAAGGGAGGGATGTTGATGGGTGAGGAATGGTATTCTAGGCAGAGGGACCAGCAAATAAAGTTATTCTTCAGGAAAAATAATTATATATATATATAATCTCCATCCTCCAAAGGAATTAAGAAATTTGGGTTTGCCTAAATTAATTTCACAATAGAGATGGAAATAGAAACACAAGAATTCTAGGTTTGGGTATTTTAGTCTAACTTTTCATTAAATTCTTATTTCTGGAGGAAACAGTTTGAACTCCAGGAGGAAATAATGCTATGTAAACAGAAATCTCTGAAATAAATAGCTATATTAGTGTACAGAGGATAGTTATTTAAACTTTTTCAAGTCCTAATATAGTAGTTGACTGACATAAACAAGTCTAAATGCAAAGATTTTATTCAACCAGCTGAAATCACTTTAGAACTACCTGTCTGAAGACTAATTATTAGAAGACCTGGGAGATCTCTGGAATTTCTCTACTTCAACCCTCCTTCTCTTGCAGGTCAACAACGAACGGCTGTATCTACCCCTGAAACTGGGGCAAGGCAAGATAAATATCTTTTCATTTGGCTTCCATGTAGTGGTGGAAACTGATTTTGGCCTGAAGGTTGTGTATGACTGGAAGACCTTCCTGTCAATCACAGTCCTGAGGAACATGCAGAACAGCACCTATGGCTTATGTGGCCGCTATAATGGCAACCCGGACGATGATCTAGAGATGCCTATGGGTCTGCTTGCATCCAGTATCAATGAGTTTGGGCAGAGCTGGGTGAAGAGGGACACTTTCTGCCAGGTTGGCTGTGGGGACCGCTGCCCTTCCTGTGCCAAGGTAGAAGGTTTCTCAAAGGTGCAGCAGCTGTGTAGCCTGATCCCCAACCAGAACTCTGGCTTCACCAAGTGTCACAGCAAAGTCAATCCCACTTTCTTCTACAAGAACTGCCTGTTTGACTCTTGCATCGATGGGGGTGCAGTGCAGACCGCCTGCAGCTGGCTGCAGAACTATGCCAGCACCTGCCAGACTCAGGGAATCGCAGTGACCGGCTGGAGAAATTACACAGCATGCTGTGAGTCCTTCCCCTTATCTCACCTTGTGTCCTGTTTGGTGTGGGCAGGTCAGGCTCCAATCTTCATAGGTATCTAAGAAAATGGACTAGAGCAATATAAGAACATGCACTTTGGAATTGTTTGTTGTCTGCAACAACATGTATAATCTCCCAGAGCCTCCATTTCTTTATCTATGCAATTGAGTTAGTAACACTTATTTCACATGCTGCTCTGAGGGTAAAATAAGATCATTTATTATTTTTTAAATTTTATTGTATTTTAATTTTTAAAATATTTTAAAACTTCCAATTACAGTCAATATACAATATTATATTAGTTTCAGGTGTACAACATAGTGCTGAAACATTTATATAACTTACAAAGTGATCACCATGATAAGCTTAGTACCCCTATGACATCATAGTAGTTATCATAATGTTATTGACTCTATTCCCTATGCTGGACTTCACATCCCCATGACCATTTTGTAACTACCAATTTGTACTTCTGAATACCTTCTTATTTTTCACCCAATCCCACAAGCCCCCTCCCATCTGGCAAACATCAAAATATTCTCTATTTTTATGAATTTGTTTCTGTCCTGTTTGCTCATTTATTTTGTATTTTAGATTCCACATATAAGTGAAATCATATGGTATTTGTCTTCCTCTTTCTGATTTATTTCACTTAGCATAATAGCCTCTAGGTCCACCTCTATTGTTGCAGATGGCAAGATTTCATTCTTTTCTATGGCAGAGTCATATTTTTATTGTACATATGTTTACTTCTTATCTACTTGTCTATTGATGGACACTTAGGTTGCTTTCATATCTTGGCTATGGTAAATAATGCTGCAATGAACATATGGGTGCATATATTTTATAGTTAGTATTTTGCATATCTTTGGATAAATACCCAGAGGAGAAATTGCCAGGGCCCTTTTTTTGTGTATTGCTATAGATTCTTTTAAAGTCTGTTTTGTATGGTATAAGTATTACCATCCTAGCTTTTTTGTTGGTTTGTTTCCTTTTGAGTAAAATATCTTTTACCATTTTTTTATATTTCAGTCTGTGTGTGTCTTTCAATCTGAAGTGAGACACTTGCAGACAGTATACTGTGGATCTCGTTTTCTTATTCATTCAGCCATTCTATGTTTTTTTGATTGGAGCATTTAATCTTTACATTTAAAGCAATTGTTTACACATATGTACTTATTGCCATTTTATTATTCATATTTTTAATATTTTTTCTTCTTTAAAAGTAGTCCCTTTAACATTTCTTGTAATACTGGTTTGGTAATGTTGAACTCTTTTAGATTTCTCTTGTTAGGGAAGTTCTTTATGTGTCCTTTAATTCTAAATGATAGCTTCATTCAGTAGAGTAACCTTGGTTGTAGGTCCTTGCTTTGCATCTTTGAAAATTTTGTGCCAGTCCCTTCTGGCCTGTAAAGTTTCTGTTGAGAAATTAGCTGACAGTCATAAGGGGACTCCATGTAGGTAACTAACTGCTTTTCTCTTGCTGCTTGTAAGGTTCTTTCTTTGTATTTGCCCTTTGGAATTTTAATTGGGATGTTTCTTGGTGTGGCCTCTTGGGTCCATCTTGTCGGGGAACCTCTGTGCTTCCTGGGCTTGTGCATCTATTTTCTTCACTGATTAGGAAAGATTTTCATTATTATTTCTTCAAATAGGTTTATAATTTCTTACTGTTTCTCTTCTATTTCTGCCACCCCCATGACGTGAACGTGAGTACACATCATGTGCCAGAGGCCCCTTAAATTATCCTTATCTTTTTTTTCTATATTTTTATAGTCATTCAAGCACAGTTGTCTCTATTCTCCCTTAACCATTCCCACCACCCCACCCATCCCAACCTCTCACCCTCGATCCTAGCCCTGCTTTGTCTTTGTCTATTAGTCCTTTACACATGTTCCCTGGTGATCCTTTCCCTTTTCCCCCGATTATCCCCCTCCCACCTTCCCTCTGGTGACTGTCTGTTTGTTCTTCATTTCAATGTCTCTGGTTCTATTTTGTTCACTTTTTTTGTTGTTGTTGATTAGGTTCCACTTAGGTGAGATAATGTGGTATTTATCTTTCAATGTCTGGCTTATTTCCCTTAGCAAAATGCTCTCCAGATCCATCCATACTGTTGTGAAGGGTAGGAGCTCCTTCTTTCTTTCTGCTACATAGTATTCCATTGTATAAATGTATCACAGTTTTTTGATCTGCTCATTTACTGATGGGTACTTTGGTTGCTTCCAACACTTGGCTATTATAAATTGTGCTGCTATGAACATTGGGCTGTAAAGATTCTTTCAAATTAATGTTTCAGGATTCTCAGGATATGATCCCAGCAGCAGAATTGCCAAGTCAAAAGGCAGTTCCATTTTAGTTTTCTGAGGAAATTCCATACTGTTTTCCACAGTGGCTGTACCAGTCTGCATTTCCACCAACAGCGCACTAGGGTTCCCTTTTCTACACAACCTCTCCAGCACTTGTTTGTTGATTTGTTTATGATGGCCATTCTGACTAGTGTGAAGTGGTATCTCATTGTGGTTTTAATTTGCATTTCTCTGATGGCTAGTGATGCTGAGAATCCTTTCATATGTCTCTGGGCCCTCTGTATGTCCTCTTTGGAGAAGTGTCTGTTCAAGTCCTTTGCCCATTTTTTAATTGGGTTATTTATTTTCCTGGAGTGGAGTCATGTGAGTTCTTTGTATATTTTGGAGATCAAACCCTTGTTCGAGGTATCATTGACAAATACATTTTCTCATACTGTTGGTTCCCTTTTCATTTTGCTGATGTTTTCTTTAGCCATGCAGAAGCTTTTTATTTTGATGAAGTCCCATTTGTTTATTCTTTCCTTTATATCCCTTGCTCTAGGGCACATATTGGTGAAAATATTGTTGCACGTAATATCTGAGATTTTCCTGCTGATGTTTTCCTCTAGGACTTTTATGGTGTTGGACTTATATTTAAGTCTTTTATTCATCTTGAGTTTATTTTTGTATATGGTATAAGTTGATGGTCAAGTTTCATTTTTTGCATGTAGCTGTCTAGCTCTTCCAACACTATTTGTTGAAGAGGCTATTTTTTACTCCATTTTCTGCTTTTGTCCCCGTTGTAAAATATTAATTGACCATAGAGACTTGGGTTTATTTCTGGCTTTCTATTTTGTTCCATTGATCTATATATCTGTTCTTATGCCAGTACCAGACTGTTTTGATTACTGTAGAATTGTAATGTAGTTTGATGTCAGGTATTGTGATCCTTCCTACTTTGTTCTTCTTTCTCAAAATTGCTGAGGCTATTCAGGGTTGTTTATGGTTCTATCCATATAAATCTTTGAAATGTTTGTTCTACATCTGTGAAATATGTCATTAGTGTTTTAATAGGGATTGCACTGAACCTATAAGTTGCTTTGAGTAGTATGAACATTTTGATGATGTTAATTCTTCTTCTCCATGAACACAGTACATGTTTCCATTTATTTGTGTCTCCCTTAATTTCTTTCTTCAGCGTTGTGTAGTTTTCTGAGGATATGTCTTTTAACTCCTTGGTTAGGTTTATTCCTAAGTACCTTATTTTTCTTGTTGCTATAGCAAATGGGATTTTTTTCCCGATTTCTTTTTGTAACATTTCATTGTTGAAGTACAAAAATGACTCTGATTTCTGAATATTGACTTTGTGTCCTGCTGCTTTGCCAAATTCACTTATTAGGTCAAGTAGTTTTTTGGTGGAGTCTATAGAGTTTTCTATGTATACTATCATGTCACCTGCAAAGAATGACAGCGTTACTTCCTTTTTTCCAATTTAGATGCATTTTATTTCTTTTTCTTCTGTTATTGCTGTGGCTAGGGCTTCCAATAGAAGTGGTTGAATAGAAGTGGTGAAAGTGGAAATCCTGATCTTGTTCCCAATCTTAGTGAAAAAGCTCTAAGTTTTTGCCCATTGAGTATGATGTTGGATGTAGGTCTCTCATATATGGCCTTTATTATGTTGAAGAAAGCTCCCTCTATTAGGTAATATTATTCCCACTTTGCTGAGTGTTTTTATCATAAATGGGTGTTGTACCTTATCAAATGCTTTTTCTGCATCTATTGATATGATTATGTGATTTTTTTTGTCTTTGATTTTGTTTATGTGATGTACTACATTTATTGATTTGCAGATAGTCTACCATTCTTGCATCCCTTGGATGAATCCCACTTGACCGTGGTGTATGATATTTATAATGTATTGCTAGATATGCTTTGCCAATATTTTATTGAGGATTTTAGCATCTATGTTCACCAGTAATATTGGCCTATAGTATTCTATTTGTGTTGTGTCTTTGCCCAATTTTGGGATTAGGATGATGCTGGCTTCATAAAAAGTGTTTGGGAGTCTTCCCTCTTCTTGAACTTTTTGGAATAGTCTGAGGAGGATAGGGGTTAACTCTTCCTTAATGGTTTGTGAAATTCTCCTGTAAAAGCATCTGGTCCAGGGCTTTTGTGTGCTGAGAATTTTTTGGTTATTGCTTAGATTTCACCAGCTGTTATTGGTCTGTTGAAGCTATGTGCTTCTTCTTCATTCAGTTTTGGAACATTATATTTTTCTAGAAATTTGTCTGTTTTACCCAGGTTTTCAAATTTCGGCATATAGTTGTTTGTACTAATATGTTACAATCCATTGTATGTCTGTGCTATCAGTTGTAATCTCTCCTCTTTCACTTCTGATTTTATTTATTTGGGTCTTCTTTTTTTTTCCTGATGAGTCTGCTGAGAGGCTTGTCAATTTTGTTTATGTTTTCAAAGAATCAGCTCCTGGATTTATTGGCCCTTTGAATTGTTCTTTTAGTCTCTATGTCATTTAATTCTGCTCTGATCTTGGTTATTTCCTTCCTCTGCTCTCTCTGGGCCTTGTTGTTCTTCCAGTTATTGTAGATGTAGGTTTGGGTTGTTTATTTGGAATGTTTCTATCTTCTTTAGGTAGGACTGTATCACTATGAAGTTCCTTCTCAGAACTGCCTTTGCTGTGTCCCA